CCCCCCCCCCCCCCCCCCCCTCCCCCGCGCGATTTCTTGTGTACGTACATTTTTCGGTATCCTTGAACAACCCTGGGCTCGAGGCAAAGGACCACATGGAGTCGTTCTTTCCGGGAGAGACCCTCAAGTACCTCTACCTCCTCATGCAGCCAGACCATCCCATCAACCTCATGGAGTATACCCTCAACACGGAGGCCCACCCGCTTAAGATCTTTGCGCTCGATGACGCCGCCGCCGATCGTAGCCAAATCCTTGCCTAGGATTGTTTGCCTTAGGGGAACACCGATGTACTCTCTCTGCGTGTGTTTACACGATCGTTGGGCGCGAAATCGCTCCGCGCGCCGACTTGACCTGGCCCGCCAACCAAACGAGCACGCCATGACCGACCGTGAGTCTGATCGAGGTCATGAACAACCTGGCTGCGTTTCGCTGTGTCCTCCGACCAAGTAGTCGTCTGGTGCGTCTCGTGATGCATCATTTTGTCGGGGAAGGTGATTGATCATGGTCTTGGCTTTCGGCATTCCGTCGGTGTAGATGTCCGGTCCTTACGTAATGTAGTGCGTGGTCGGAATGTACGGTGAAAAGGGCAGACACTCACGAGGTTTTGTGGATATACCGATGGAACTTGTTGGGGTGTGACCGATGGGAGTTCCAACACAGGTTTTCGGAAGCTACTACCCCAGGGGATCCACGAAATCTGGGTGGTTTGACGTCTTAATTGATTGAGCGATTTTATCGCGGTTTTCGATAGCACCAGGCAAACGAGAGCTCAGATTGAAGGGATCCTTTCTCTAGACCCACTATAGTCTAAATATAGTACGAATACCATGGTCAGCTACAAGTGGAACGGCTCGTCAAAAGGGTGAATGTTTCTTTCCCGCAGGGAACCACGATGCGCAGAAACACGAGAATACGACGACAACAATCAATATTCGTCAATGGGCGACATACAAACTTGATCGACTTCATAAGTCGCGAGGGAAGGGATTGCGCTACCCTTCTCGCGATAAATATATCTCAGGCAGGACCCGCAGGAGGGGGTCCAACCCCCCCCTCCTATGTGACCCCGCTTGGGTCGTCTAGCTGGTAGAAGTGGAGGATATGGTTCAGAGGGGCAGACGACAGAGTCCAATGATGGGGGAAGGAAAAAAAAATGTACTTTAAACCGCATGAACGCTACTGCTGTGATATTGGACCAATGAGGCTCCTAGCCCGTGTAGTTATGGTTATTGTTGTTGTCGTGGTCGCTGTTGTCGGTGCAATCAAATCAAAAACCAGTCGGCGCGGCAATGAATCTGTAAATGATCCAAAGAGGCGTTGAGCCTCATACAACGTCGTTATTGTTAGCAGCAGGGTGGGTGGGTCTTCAAAATATTTCTTTCTTACGCTGTGTTCTCGCGTATTCACGGTAGGGAGAAAAGCAATGATCGACTGTACGCAAATTCAACATGTTTTCGGGGTAGGCGCCTACGTCCAGTTTGGGCCGACCTCAACTTTGAAACCGTTTTTCTGTGGACCCGGTCTATATACTCTGACCTCTACTGACAACAGCAGTTACGTGACCAAGACAAACAATCAATGTACGATGTTGAGCAGACGCTCGATTACAGCTCAGTTTCAAGGCCATCAATGCAATGCATCTGCATGACCAGCAGGGGACATGCGCCTCTCCAAATGAACCAGGTGTTCCTATCTAGCAGCTGGGACGTGCGGCCAGCTTTCCCGCGGTCTCAATTTTGACGTGGGAACATGTACGAGTTCCCCCTTAACAAGAACATGCCGCGCCGATATATTGAAACCTTTCTGCGAAGGAAGTTCGGAGTAATTCGGCTTACTGCGGACCGCATGCGATTCCGCTCTCAGCTTCCGCACTCCAGCACCCATGCTGCACCATGATGCTGAGTGGTAAGGCAGGAGATTTAGCTCCCCTGGACGGCCCGCAACGCCGTGAGGTGTTCCCACCGATGAGCAACCTCGCAGACGATGACGATGCCGTGGTGGTGGAGGTTAGCAACGTGCAGTTTTCTCCGCTCAAGTCCGCTGTGAAGGAGGCGGAGGAGCGGGACGCGGCCGAAGTGGAGAGGTCGCTTGCGGCCGTCTCAAGGCTTATTCAGTGCGTGACTGATGCGCTGGAGGTGGGTTTGGGCGGAATGCAGGCCTGCTATTTCAAGCCCGCCACAGCGGTTCGCTTGTTTGGAAATGGGGGCGGAGAGAAGAGAACAATTGCATCTACCCCCCTATTTTCCGTGTAACGTTTCCAAGCGTTTTTCGTGAGCCCACACGATTGCGCACGCACACCTGCGTTGCAGTGTTGCTTTTGCACAGACACACGGCACGCACATCCGATTGCCTGTACGTGCCCCAACAGTGTGTGTGTGATAGAATCGCAACCATCTTCGGCCGACGTAGATACGAGGAGTCGCCGGCACCTCGTGTATGTCCTGTGTACATGCGTTTCGTATGGATAGCTCTCCCTGCGGCAGCAGTGGAATGCATACCACAGAGTTCACCGCTTGCATGTTGATTTGATTTTCACCGGTGCACCCGAGAGTCAAAATAGCCTGAAGATTCCACGCGCGCGGGCGGCCTTACGCCATCAAACTGGCATATTTCCCCGCATTGTGTGTGTGGACCTACTCGAAAGGTTGTGGCCCCCCGCTTCTGTTTTTTGCTCATTTTTCGGCGGTTGGTATGCTCACCGTATATGATACAAGATAACACACCCCCTGGACCAATTTTCAAAGCACGATTACGCAACGACGAAGAGAATGTATACATGAAAGAATACATTTTCGGAAAGCTCTCGACGAGAAAGCTTCAACGCCACCGTTTTCGGCGCTGTGACTCTTTCTTTTGTTGAGAAATCGATGTTTGAAAATTGGTCCAGGGGGTGTGTTATCTTGTGTTTACGGTATGCATATCATGTCTTCGGGGCAACGACCCAGATGCCACACGTTCTCTTGTTAGGGGTGTTATTAACGACAATAAAATCACGGAACATTTCACGGAATCGTTTTTTCTTGAACATATATGCAGGCGTTTTTCCCCGAAAACGTGAAGAGAAGGAGCCGGGATTTTTTTGGGCTTGCTATTTTCACGGATCCGTGTTTTTGACAGAAGCATCGGACAAGCGCACCGCGGGCGCTGTAACATCACTGAGAACGCTAGAAAGACCTGCCAGACTCACGTCCAGGTCTGTTGTGGAGATGGACAAGCGCGAAGCGACGTTCAGTCCGTTCTTGGTCCACAACTAGATAGACATTGCGTGGTGCTCTCGTCTTCAACTGCTGCTGTTGGTGCTGGGGAATTTTTTCGATCACACGTAGCAAACACGGAAACAGTAGAACGAGTACAGCAGCAGCACCAAGACCTCCAACGTGCTGATTCCTTCGGTTCGGCTGTCTATTTGACACCATATCCCGGCGCCGTGCTGCTTCGTGGGTATTGGGTGCTTGGGTGCTGCTCAATAAGGTGTGTGAGAGACGTGTGCCACCTCACCAAAATGCCGTCGGAAGAAATGCGGCGAGATTATCTGTTTTTGGTCGGACACGTCAACATCACTCCACGGCACCACGCAGCAGAAGAGCAACAACAGGGCCTCCGACACGCTCATTCTTTCGGATTGGCCATCTATATGATGCTGGCCGTCAGCGCGGCTGCGGCCCTATGATTGTTGAGCTCGTCTACCTTTAGGCAGTTGGTGGTCAAAGATGGGAGTCGCAACTGTGAAAAATGAGCTGGCAAACTGAAGAAATCGCAAGCAACACCTAGGTTACGACAATCTGCCCTGCGCCTGTTGTTGCTGAAAACTGAAAACAGCAGGCCGGGTGGATATGATCTTTCTAAGTGTGTGTGTTGTCCTTCGTGTCGGGTGCTGCTCATTGCGCTTTCACCACTGCTCTATGGTGAGCAACACCAAGTCAACCTGTTGTGTGCCGAGCAAGGCGTGTATTCCGGGAAGGAAACGTACTTTTTGCGATGACATCACGAATAGAACAAGCGAAAAAAAGTCGGGTTTTCTTTTCACCGTTCCGTGGAAGATTGCACGACTTTTCCGAAGCGTTAATAGCGAGCCTTATTAGCACCGGATTGTGAGCCCCATTGGCTGACTGGTGGTCTTGTGGTCATCGCGCTTCTCAACACCGTGCGTGATCTTGGTGCCGCAACGAGTCTCTCTGTGTTTTACAAGTGTTTGTTACCGGGTGGTCATACCGTCACCACATCGTCCGTATATTATCGCGGAAAATTCTGTCGGGATAGTTCACCCAAAAGGCGTCCCCGTTACTGTGACGAAGTATGTAGACGGTAAGTTTGTTCGACGACCACTTTTTAGTCGCAACCTACAACATCCGTCATCGAGGGACACACCAGGACAGTACAGCAACCATTGTCGATCGGGGTCCATCTACCGACGCCTTCAGACTTTAGTAACTGCTGCGCTCGGCCGCTTCTATTGCTCTAGAGCCCTGATTACGAGTATAGCCATCACTGCCTTAGGGTTACAGGGGTCGAAAATGGCGCGGATGGCAAGATATCTCACAACTTGCATTTGTTTTCGTTGGGTGAAAAACGCAGCGCCATCTCTTTCTCTGTTCACCACTTTTACTGACTGTTTACCGTAACCATCGGGGTCTTGGCACATATCGGGGTCTCGGCACGTATCGGGGTCTCGGCACGTATCGGGGTCTCGGCACGTATCGGGGTCTCGGCACAGGGTGTGCGGAAATATAGCGGGTTCCGAATGATCTGCTAGATTATCGCACAGGTATTGTCGTCCCCGCACACTGTGCGGAGACGCCGATATGTGCGGTGACGTTTGGCGGTAAGTGATACCCTTTCATCAGCATCTTTTGCTGGAACTTCCGGATACTGTGGGAGCTTGAATCGCGTGCTCCACTGCTACTGCTGCCCTTGGCACCATGACGATGTTCAAAAATGTGGTATTTGTTCTATTCGTTTCGTTCTATTCTTTTCGTTCTGAAGAATCAAGATCGGCAAATCGGCAAACGGCATCCACTCAACAATTCTAATCGCAGATGAAACCAATAATGAAGTAAAAATCACACCAAACTACCACTACGAGCTACCAACGTCCTACTACTGTACTTCCTAGGCAGGTTGAACTCTACTTCGTGCCCGCGCCCCTACCATCGCAAAAACATCCAACCTCACTGGCAATCCCAAAGAACTATGATTCAAAGTTCGACTGCTTCTCCTTCGGCGTCCCCGCCCCCATGCCCCTCCACGACTTCCACGTCGCTGTCGCCCTCCAAGACCTCCACCTCGCTGTCGCTCTCATCAGCGACGTAGGGCAGCAGCTTCCCCTCGACCTCCTTCTGAGCAGCCGTGATGGGGTTGGAGTCGAACCCTCCTGGTACCTTCGGCAGCTTGAGCGGCGGGAGAGTCACGTCGGGGTGCTCAGCGAGTCACACGGCGTGCTGCTCCTCGAGAAGGTCGCGGTAGTCTTCCCCGAATTGTGCTCGCACCAGGCGTGGTCTTCGCTGCCGTCGAGCGCGAGCGTGCGACCGCAGATCTTGAAGCAAGTCTTCACCGTCTCGGGGGTGATGGACTCCCACTCTTCCTTGCACCACGTAGAGACGACCCCACGCTCCGGTGGCTTCTGCTTCCCCGACCGGGCGTCTGCGACCGCCGACGCGCTGTAGGCGGTGTACTTGCCTCGCAGCAGCCGCTTCATCTGCTTGTTGAGCATGCGGTCGAGCGGTTGGAGCAAGGGCGCCAACCCGCCTGGGATGAAGATGACGATGGTGTTGGCGTCATTCTTGAGGGCGGCGATGAAACTCTCGTCCTTGTGGCACTTGAAGTCGTCCAGGACCAGGATGCACGGGCGCTGCTGGACGATGCTGCCGTTGTTGGGACGGAGATTCCAGCTGCCCGAGATCCACCCGTTGCACTCCCGCTGGTCACTCCAGCTCTTCTCCTGCACGCCGAAGGACATGCCGTTGGCAGGGTGGCCGTGCTTGGCGCGGTTCGCAGGATGGATCTCCCACGCGACGGAGTCCTCCCGCGGCAGGGTGCTCTTGCCCTTGCCGCTCACGGTGGGGGGAATGAACGGCGTGCCCTTGAAGATGATGCGCGGCGAAACCTTTT